TGGAGAATATGAAACAACAATATTCGCCGAGTTTATAGACGAGTATGAAGATAATACTGTTTACCTTGGAGAAACAATGATACAACCTCCTACAACAGAAGCTAGTATTAAGGTAAGGGAATTGTATATAATACTTTATATGATTTATACAGACACTTTATTTCAACATCTGATATAATAATTTGTTTCTATTTTAGTTTATCAGAACAAAAAATAAAAGCTCTACCATGTGGGTATATGGTATAAGACTGTTTTTGATAGATTCTATAAAGAGGCAAAACCCAGTGCCTTCAACCCTGACATTATTCAGACCTTTCTCAGTAATCGCAACAGTAAAATGAGTCCAGGAGCAGAATGGCAATGAAAGTATTTGGATATTATAATAAACAAGAAATTGTGAATAAGGAGCAGTTTTGTCAAAATAATTTGGAAAACCTTGCTCCAAATTCACAATATTCCGAATGTAAAAATGGAATTGGAAGAAGAGATAATGAAAAAGAATGTTCAAATTATGAAGATAATTATGAAAAGTCAGATTCTGTCGAATGCAAAAGTGAAACTGAAAGGAAAGACAATGAAGACTGTCCAAATTGTGAAGAAGATAATAAAAAATTAGATATGGATATCAGATCTTGTACCAATAGTGAAAGAGAGTCTAAAGAGGCAAAATCAAGTGCCTTTAATTATAAAGACTTTATTCAGACTTTTCTCAGTAATGTCAATGGCAATATGAGTCAAGAGGCTGATATGGTAATGAGAATGCATAGACATTATAATAATAAACAGAAAATTAATATGAACAATGAGTTTTACCAGGGAAATTTAAAAACTCTTGCTTCAAACTCAGAGTATCTTGAATATAAAAATAAGAATGGAAGAGAAAATAGTGAAAAGGAATGTTCAAATCATGAGAATGAGCATGAAAAGTTAAATTCTTTCGGAAGTAGAACCAGGATGTAGAACAAGCCATAAAAAAGACTATTCAAACTGTAGTGAAGATAGTAAACAATCTGACATCAAAACTTATATCGATAATAAATTTTATGATATAGAGAATAAACTAATGGAAAGGCTAAATCAGATAGAGGTTAGTACTAATCAGAAATTAGATGCTATTTTGGAAAGACTTGAAGCATTGAAATTAAAATAATTGTTTTTTGTTAGGATTAATTTTTGATATTTAATAAAACAAGACACACACATACTCAAGTAGAATTATAACAGAAAAGTAATATATCTAATAATTAATAGGATTTATATAAAAATATAAAATAAGTAATATATTCATTCTATAAATGTTCTTTATCTGATTAAAAAGAACAGAATTATTTTAAAAAATATAAAGTTTGTTTTTATGAGTTTTTTATTAGATAAGTTTATATATCATGTATTATTATATCGTCTCCATATTTTTTATCAAAACCATGTATAAAACATTGCACAATTTCAAGTTGGCAAATATTTTTAATTCGTGTAAATTCAATTTGTTTTCAAGCTGTTTATATGGCAATGAAATTTGTAAACATGCTCCAAAAGACATTAATATACATGTATTATTGACGTACAAAGTTTATATTCATTAATATATAAGTAAGTTTTCCAAAATGCGATGAAACAAAATCACCTATGTAAGTGGGAACATAAAAATACTATTTCATAATAGTTTCTACATTGTTTAATCATATGATTATTTATATATTAACACAAAATATATCATACGTTTTTTTTACTCTCTAGAAGCGATATGTGCTGAATTAACAGCATAGGAAAATTCAAAACAATATAATTGCAATATAAATTAAGAGAAGTGATTGGCAGTATTTTAATGGAATAACTTGAGTGTTTTAATCAGCCTTGTCATTCTCTTTAGGATCCCAATAATGAAGTTGTTTTCGCCACAATTTCACCATACCGTCCCACCCTCTCCTGCTATATTTGATATATTTTGGTGGTGTCCTTGGATGTTCTCGTGTACGATTCTCTCTAAAACAAAAATAAACAAAAATCATGTTATTTTGGCTTGACATACAATATATACAATAGATTACAGAATCTATCTTTTGTCACCTTAATTTTATATGGATCTAACTTGTTCTATGTTATCTACGTAGGAATATTGTATTGTAACGCTTACTTAGGGACTAGCTGAATGTATCTGTCATATCCGATAGTATTTTTGCCATAATCTATCTCCTTTTGTCTGCGCGCTAATACAACCGGATCTGTCTCGAATTCCAAGTGTTTCTTCCCACTTTCTGACGAATTCGTGGTCGAGGTAGAGTCACTGGAGTAACGTCTGCTACGAGATACCTTAGCATCCTCATTATCCATACTGTCTTGTCTCGCTCTCTTACGTAGCGTATGTGAATTTCCGGTTTATTCTTTACATTAGCTTTGTATTCTATATACCTAATGTTATCTTTACTTTTTTATGCTCCATTTGAGTATCGTCACTTTGTGCACTCGACTGTTCATATTTTTGCGTCTTCTCGTAAAGTTCCGCGTTTATTACATCTTCATACCAGGTATTAGCGTCCAAGTTGTCTTTTTTCGTACCATTCTGTTTCGTTTCGACAATTTCCTTACTATTCATACATATCACTGCGTCGAACAGTTCGTCTTCCTCAACTTCTATTTCTACTGACGATTCACGAGAAGATGGATCCATTTTTAATGGGTAGTAATTAGTTTCACTCACTTCGTTGAGCTATCTAAAAAGATCAAAATAAAAACAACAATAAATAACACTTCTCAACACACGTCATTCTCGAATTCGATCACTTCGAATGTAATGAAACTTATTCACTGTGCACGTACAATTTTCTTAAAGTATAACCTATCGAGTGCAGGCACTCCGCTTCGCTCGAAAATTCTGCGGGATACGAAACGCCTATTTATAGTTTGCATTAGCCGCCTCTATCGTTGCTTCGTCAAACAGTTACAGAACGGGAAAAACGAGAAATTCTCTCGTTTTCGAACCAAATAAATTGCATTCGTTGATCTTCGAACGTTTTCAATTCTCGTTCTACGCTTCGCCCTGCGCGCCTTTTTCACTACGTTATAATTAATTCGCGCTAATAACATCTCGATATCTCGAAGATCGCTGTGACGTCTTTTCGATATATTTTGAATCGCTTCAAATGTATATGTTCACGTATCTTTTATATAAAGATCGACAATTTATTTCTCAGGCTGATAAACTATAATTTCGCATTTTATTAAAACGAAATAAATATTTATTTGTTGGAGAGACAGAAAAAGAGAGCAAGAAATCTCACTCGAGTACAAAAGCAACACGAAAATAATCTCCCAATACATAAAGAAAGGTTAGATTAGATTGGATTAGGTTAGATTGAGAAACACATGTGGTTAAACATCTGATTCACGTGTCAAGTGTTGATGGATTGAAAACATAGCAATTTGAAGACATTTTTCTCGTAAATGATTAAATCAAATCTCAATTCAATCTGATTTTTGAGGTGATTTTAAAATTCGAAGTCACATATGTATACAGGGAAGAAATAGAATGTCGAGTGTGATTGTGCTGAGTGATTCGGACGAACCCTCGTCGCCTATTATAGACAGATGCAATGAAAATGAATTCGAAAACAACGAAGAACCTCGTTTTAATGATACAAGCTTCGACTTCCCGGAGGTACCATTCTGTCGCCAAATTTTAGAAAACTGGACGTCGCAAACTGAAGATGAGGATCTTCCCAATTTGAATGTTGACAATGGCTATAAACGTCCTGGATCATCGCATACCATGTCCGATTCTCACGATTCGGATGATAATCGGGTTGAAAAGACTTCGAGAAAAGCTGCTGCATCCAAAAAGGACAAGGTGACGTTAAAGGAGGAACGATTGAAACGTCAGCAGGCAGAGGCGAGAGAAAAGGCGTTAAAGGCGATCGAGAAGAAGAAATTTAAGGATATGAAGCCTGGGGAATGTTTGAAATTTATGGAAATTAATCTGGATCGAAATATCGATGCGTCGGCTTTTCGTACAGAAATTGAAAATGTACTGCGAAATGCTGATATTAAAGTTAACGTAACTACAGAGTTAATTTCGAACAGTATCACATGGCAGAGGAATATAGAAGATAACTACATTGGCGAAGATAATAAAGTACATGTAAACAAAAGTATACAGATGGAAGAATACATTATTGTGGTTTGGAGCAATTATGAAGCAGTAAAACATGTGGCGGAAGGTACTTTCTGTGCTGCAGTTTTACACAATAAATCCCTGATTCCGAATTACAATGTAACTCTGGTTATCTTTGGCATGGAAGAGTATTTTGCATATCGGAAGAAACAGAAAACAGATAAGAGTTCTAAAAGTAAAGGGTCGAGATGTAACAACAAAGGTAATCAGCATTTTGAAACATTCCCAATTATATCGAGGCAGCAGCTGGAGATGTGCATGACTGAAGTTCAGATAGTAGCCAAATGTAGTAGCAGATTAATCGAGAATGCACAAGATCTAGGTTTAATGGTGTATCAATATACAAAGTCTATTTCGGAAATACCATATAAATTAGAGAAGAGAGAAAGTCAGGAAAATAAATTTGACTGGTATGTTATGGGAGACAATAAGAACACTGTGCGAGTGGATAAAGATGGAAATGGATTGAAGAGATTGTGGCAGCAGCAGTTATGCCAATTTAACTTGAGTAGCTTGGAAATATCAGAAGCTATATGTGCAGTTTATCCTAGTCCAGTGCAATTGATCAAGGTATTATCAAATTTTATAATTAATATTTTATTTTAGTATGTTGCTGGAAAAAGACTTGTTCCTAATTCTAGTAAATGTGTAAATTAAATATTCTATTCTTTTTTTCTAGGCTTACAGAAATTGTACACCTGAGGAAGGCATGAATTTATTGAAAGACATACCGGTAAGTCTTATCTTGTTCTCTTCTGTATTAGTAAATTACTAATATGCTGTATTAGTAAATTACTATATAAAATAATAAAATTATATTAGATATATATAATATAATTTTATTATTTTATATAGTAATTTACTAATACAGCATTAGCATATATATATATATATATATATATATATATATATATATATCTAATATAATTGTCTTTCTCTCTCTAAAATATAATCTATAATCTATATCAATGTCTATTTGTTTTTTATTTTTAGTTATCATTATACACATGAACGTAAATTTAATTAAATCTCATAATTATATTTTATACACGATAAAATTCATATAAAATATATTTATATAAGCCATAGTGCAGTAATAAAGAGATAATATAGTAACATTATTCATAATTCATTAACATAATAAATTTGTAAGTTTCGTTTTCTATATAGATTAGAGAAAGTCAAAAGTTTCGTTTTCTCTATAGATTAGAAGAGCGGCAGGACCTCTCACAGCTGTACGTAAAATCGGGCCCGAATTAAGCAAAAAAATGTACGTGATGTTTACGTCACAAAATGGAGACACTGTATTAGGGACTGAGATATAGATATTGCAATTTTTTTATAGAAATTTTATTTATATGTAATTTGTCATACATGTCGTTCATTTGTATAATCTTTTATATGTTACATAGAAGTACTAAATTGTATTATCTTAGAAAGTGTTAAATTTTACAGCTCTGAGACGTCTTTTTTGCTCTTTTGATATCGAAATAATTTCAAGGTTTTAATAATACATTTTTCAAAAGTTAGATTTTCGATTTAGAGTTATTAGATTCTAGATAATATTTAAATGAGATAATAAGTAGATACACATTTTTATGTAATTGCTTTTTATTTTTCTCAGAAATATGTATGAAAAGAAACAGCTATATATAAGAGAAATATTAAATAAAAGAAATTGGCACACATTCTAGAGATATACAATTTACGAAATAGCAGTGTTTTCCTATTATTTAACATCGCTTATTTTTCATCTTTTGAATTCTTTGGCTAATTTGGAGTAGCGCGAATATCATACTCAAATATATATATGTAGAATTTTGTAATACTATTAGGCGTTTTATATATATATATATATATATATATTGAATTAATAAATATATTTTAAGTTTTTTGAATCTATATACGCACACGTATTTCTCACATTATATATGTAATACATAAAATATCGCATATATACTACATAAAATCTTAAGCTAAATTGAATTATAATCTCATTGTAACAACAAAGTACGTATTATCACTATTAAAGCTTAAAACCGTGTGTGTGACTTATATAATAATAAATAATATATTAAATTCTATAGTATTAGTTGTATTATAAATATTATTATAATTAATATATAGCGCGTCTACAACGTTTTAATTAATGTAATATAAAACTTTGTAGATGCATTGTGTATACTGAAAATATATATATTAACATATATATATTTTTTACAATATATTTATTATATATTTTATACAATATATATATAAATATATATATATATATATATATATATATATATATATGTGAGTGTGTTGTTGTATATTTAAAAATGGGTTTATACGGACCTATTAAAATAATATACGCCTTTTATAGAGAAGACGTCTTTTTCAGACGTGTTCTCGCATATTGCACAACATATCATCAAGACCTTATGTTACATAAGAAACAATTATATATTTTATATTTGTATTTCGCTGGCATTGTCAAGAATAGACTGTTCCGAATTGTATTTTTTCTCGTGCTCCAGCTCCGTTTCGTTCAAAATATCGCAAATATCATTGTCGACAGTTGCAGATGTAGCGTCGATTGTGGGCACGTATTTACGTTCGATGATATTGGTCTTAATAGCATCCTCGATCTCGAGTACGTTATCCATTAGAGTATCATCATAATTTATCGATGCTTTGGAAGATTGCGCTTGCACAAATCTATGCTCATCTTTCTCGAAGGTCAGGATTTTAGGTGCATTTACATTTTCCGTAATTTTCGTCGTCGCAGTCATCTGTTGTTCGCCTCTCTCGTTCTGCTGAGCTGGTTGCGAATTTCTCTTTGCCAGAATGATCTTGGTATATTTTACAGTAGGTTGTACCAGGCGATTTTCTATCGGCATTCTGTTCTTCGCTGAGATACCACTATTCTGGGATCGCGTTTGTAGTATCAGCTGATTTAAATTTTGCATATTGGGACATATAACAGATTTATTTTGCGTCTGTTTGTCTTGCTTATTGCTAATTAAAACCACTTTGGTGGTGCTGCTTAATTTGGGTCTTTCTGGAGGCTCCTTAGCTGGCGTCGCTTGTGTTACTATCGGTATTTTGTCGATGTTGCTTAAATTGTCATCGTCCTTGGCGAATATTATCGGTATATCCAATATATTTCCCAGATCGTCATCTATATCGTTTGTGACAATATTCTTTTTTTGAATACTTTGGGCGACTTTCCCTTTTTGAAGTCTCTGTAAATTGTTGGCGTTGACCGTGATCTTCGGCATTGTCTTCATCGACTTCTGAGACAACTTCAGCTTGTTGGATAAAGGTAAGATGTTTCCAGAGTTTTGGCTGTTAAATGGGACTATCATTGACGGAGGCGCATTTCTGTTGTGAAGAGAATTCTCGACAATGACTATGTTACCGCACGACATATTATGAGAATTGTCAGTATTATTCGATGCGGCTCCTTGTCGTGGTAAATGTGTCGACTTGGATATCTCCAATAAGTGAGAGTCACTGCTTATTCCCATCTCTTCCATCGCTATAAAATATAGATGTATATATTTGTCTCAGATCTTAAAAAAAGATATAAAATTATATATATTTTTTATTAACATGCAACAATATTTCGAAGATATTTCCAACACTGTATACCACGCAACACATTCCACATCCAACATATTGAATATTTGACTGTAAAACACTCGCTTTGATATTTAATCTTATAAATCTTTTACAATTTTATATTTTTAGCTTAATTGTGTATTTAATGTTGTACATTGAAATTATATATTATTTTAATAATCTTAAATTAATGCTAAAAGGGTAGCGAAGGACAAATAGAAATTTTAAACTAAGAGGATTTCTATCTTACTCGAAACAAAAGGTTCCAATAAGGAATGTTTAGTAATTCTTTTACAAAATACATTTGGGGCAAAGCCTTATTACTATGAGTATTTGTCGTTGTCCAAGACCTGATGTAAGTAAAGATATTAATTAAACATCCCAAAACCAATTGTTTGTATTCATTGTCACATTATATAAATTGATTAATTGTTTATATTTGATTCAATGGACAGAGGATTATAAGGTTGGAAATTAAACAAATTCGAATTATATATATGTCACAAAAAAATATTTATTGAATACAAAATAAAAAGCAACCTGATATTGTATCTACAATATTCCTTTTTGATACGTACTTAAAGATCCATGATGATACTTATCGCTCATCCACAAGTGTTAATAGCATTTATAAGACATAATATCATGTGCATATATGTCTAAATATATAACTATTTACATTACTGATTAAGAGATAAATGGAAAATCCCCTTAGTTTCATCCATGTATTTGAAATTTTTTGTCTAAAGATAATTAAATAATTGAAAGTAATAGAAGCACATGGTCTCGTTAAATACTTCTAATTAAGCTAGAAAATTAAAGAAACTATATATACAATAAGGAAGAAAGAGAGCTCTTACCAAGTAAAATAAATCTAGTATCAAATTAATATTAAGCAACTTTAGGAAAAAGGATATTTTTTGGTTTTATAGAGAAAAATCATGACAAATGTGAATTGAGTGAACAAATGTTTGTAAATTATAGTCTGTATTATTTGGAATCTACTGTTATGTGATATGTTTCTCTTATCAGCAAAAGAATTCATTTTTTAAAATATATGCAGTTAGCATACTAATATTATATCTGGAATTATTCTATTGTAATAAAAAAGCACTATATTCATATATATGTATGATTCCCATAATAATTTAAAGTATATACATGCAAATATATGTGCTATATAGCTTTTAATCCCTCTCCTCCTACGTGTATTAAAAGTTGAGGTCTATTTTTATGATAAAAATACTAAATAATAGACTAAATTGTAATATGTATTATTAATATATGTATATGAAGACTGATTATGTTGACTGATATTATGCAATATTTTAGAACTTGTAATAAATTTATTATAATTTCTAATACTTTTTCATGTGCTTCGTTTTAAATTTTATAGTTTATATATCAAATTATTAAATAGATTACAAGAAACTGAGAGAATTTTTAGTCTGTTCCCTTTGATACATTTTGTTATATCAGAAATACACGTAGTAATTTTTTGTTATATATCAGAAATACACGCGTAATTTCAAAAGTTAGATAGTTCGTGTCATTTTATATACAAGTGTAAAAGTTTATAAAAATGTATGTTATCTGTGTATATATGAATATATACTTTAAACGATCGAGAAATGAAAATTATAAAAAAAATTAACCAGTTTTTACTAGCTGTATATGATATTCATTTTATGTATATGCCGCATTAAATAAGTATTATAAAAAATATAAATCTGCTTATTTGTATTAAAGTAATTGGAAAACATAAATAGAAATAAATTCTCAAAATTAACGGTTATAAATATAGCAAATATATGTTCTTCTCTCATTAAGTGTATAGTCAATTTGCTAAATACTGTTTATTGTAAAATTATTAAGCTTAAATGTTGTGCTTATGAAGTTTCTCTTCAATTTGCACTTTTGTTTTAATGATACTCTATACGATGGACAGAATTGTCGTTTTGTCTTTCGTTCATTTTTCTACTCTAACATGGTCAGGTAATCACAAACAAATAGTGTGACAAATTCACGAATAATGAAAAAGCAGCGCTGAAGGAGAACATCATTTTACGAGCAAATATAATATTCTATATGAATTACTCGATTATATAAGAATAAAAATCCTAAATAGATCCACAAAACAGAAATTGTAACATCAAATTACTTAATTCGCGGTAGATACGTAAATTTTCTGTAGGCTATATTTATTTATTGCTACGTTTCAGGTAAATTATTAATTAATTGATTAGATAATAGTAATCTACCTTTTGGAGGGATCGTTGTGGACGATGTTACGTTATTCGCCGATGAATTGGTAGTCGTTAGTAAGATACTGGAAGCCGACGACACACGGGCGGAAGATGCACTGCTCGTGAGCGCGATAGAGCTCTTTCCACTTTGTAAAAGATTTGACAATGTGCCAGTTGTCGCACAAGTTGGTTTACTACTTCCCGCTATAATCGAGAAGGAAAAATATAAATATTTTCAGTCGCTCCCTTATGTATACATGAATTTGATAAATTTATTAAGGAATTGTAATATGCATTTTACCTGCAGTAGCTGTATTAACTCTAATTTGATTTCCCGTAGTAAAGACGTTCACTAATTTTGCGTCTCCACTCTTATCGGCTACATTGACTTGTCTGTAATTGTTCGACATCACATTCGAATACGATTTGTTGGTGGACAGTATTTTCATTTTTGGAACATTGTGCAGCGGTACATTTGAAATGATC